AAAAAAAAAAAAAAAGTCGTGCAGGCTTCAAACGCCTTTTATGCACTAGGTTATATTGTGTCCCCCTCCCCAGATTTGCAAAGGAAATTCCACGCACCACACTTGAAAAACAGTAATGGGTTAGAAGAGCTGACCCGGATCGGGCAATTGCAAACCCTCTGCGAACGTGCCAAAGGCTGACTAGCTCGTTGGAAACGGGAACTTGAGATAAAGCAATGAAATTCCAACCCGAGTGTCTACTGTGGCGGCGGGAGTTGGGAGGAGGGCAAGAGGGAGGAAGACTCCAGGCTGAATTGGCCCTTTTGCCTGGGAGTGCTGGGCGGGTACCTCCTCCAAACCGAGTGGACTCACAGGGAAGCGCGGTGGGGAAGTTGCGCCCTGCACCTGCCGCTCCCCTTTAGGACACACACCTGGCAGATTTAAATGGACGGTGTTGAAAACGGTGCCAATCAGCATTAAAATAAGATCCACAAGAAGGAGAAATGCCGTCCTCAACCAGTCCCACGGCTTGTTTCCAGTTGGCCTGCTGGTGACCAAGGTGGGCTTGAAGTTCTTTGCCTAGCCTCGCATTTTATTTGCTAGCCTGGAAATGTTTATTATCGAAAGCAGGTCAAGTCGGCAGAGGTGGGGTGGAGAGCCATTTCTGCCTACACTGGCTGCTGTAAGGGGAGAGAAGCAAAGACATTTTTTGTCACTTTCCTAAAATGAAATGGTTAAACAAGAATAGATGTGTATTTTCCGCGTGAATAACAAAGCAGTCCCCTGATTCCGTTCAAAGAGTTGGCGGGAAAAATCGAAAAACAGCTGCGGAGAAACTCCCACAAGAAATAAACACGGATCAATTGAGCGTCTCAAATGAAGATCTAAGATACTTTGTATCCTGTGATTCAGTGATATGACTACTACATTTGTAACATTCCTTTTGGAGTAGAAACATTTTAAATGTCACATTTCGATGATAAAAATAAACAATAGAAAAACAATGCCATTTGCAGGAGCCAATGGTTTCTTTGAACCTTCTGAAGGAGCAGCGACCTTTCCATTCTTGCATGTATATTCAAATAGGCACCAAATCCAGCGTTTCCTTTATTGTTCTTAAATCTCCCTCCTTTTCTTGGCAGTGGGTATGTCAGATAAGCTTCAGTTTCCCCTTATATGTAATGATCTACACTATTGAATTAGATCTATTTCATTTCACTCCAGCAACATAAAATTTTGCACAGGGCTTCAGGCAATGGTCAAAATTCCACCTTTGCAGTGAGGTCTCCAAAATGTTTATGTGACAGTGCTAAAGTCTAAACAACAATATTAAAGTAGAAATATTTGGGAAACTTAAAATGTCCATGGGGCATATCTCCTGTACAGGGTCCGAGTACTTGGAAGAGGAGAGATCTGGGAGTAGCCACGTGTACTATCTAGTACACAAGATAGAAGTGGCAGTTTCAAGGGGCAGTGAGAGGATGATGGCATGCCTGCCTACAAGATGACTGGCAGTGGGCGAGGGTTTCCTGCTGCCTGGAGGATGCCCCTGTGAATCAGACTTGCTCTGTTGCAAATATTGACGCGTCTGAGACATTCACACTGCCCAGCCTAATTGGAAGCAGCTTGAAGTGAGCTGCCCTTGAATGCTTTGGAGGTTTTTCATCCTCCGTGGACATAGAACCTGGATGTGAACAGGCATATGGAAACTGAAGGACAAGAGGAGAGCCCCTTTTCTTGAATTAAAGACAATGCCCAGCCAGTCCTGGTTTACCTGGATTTGTCTGATTTCTTATTAAAGAACAGTCCTCTTCAGTCTTCAGTGCATGTGAGTGTGCACACACACGTAACCATAATTCAGGCGCTGGAAAGTGGGTAGGGAAGAGGTTTGCAGAATGATTGTTGTGATAATAAGTTGGACACAAAAGAGAAAAGAACACTGAAACCTGCCACTAGTTGATTTTCAACTTCCCCTCAGGCAGGTGGACAGGGAAGCAGGAGTCCCGTCCCCATTTTTGGTTACCTATTTCTTGCAAGCTTGAAATTATCATTCATAGTTAGATGTTACTGACTTTGTTTCTCAAATCCCCCACACTGTTTAGAAACGTTGCTATAAAGGCTTTGTTCCATGACTGTGGGTTTGTCTGTAGCATAAGCTCAGAAGTCTTGAAGGCCTCTGGTATTGCATATTCTCAAAGCAGGATCTCCTTCATATTCACTTAATTTTTTTTGTGCATATCCTGATGTCATTTCTCCCTGTGATGCCACTTAAATAATTTTCCTTGTCAGAAATCAAGTGTCCTTTATGATGAGCTTTCTTTCAGGCACAAACAGGATTTTTTACTTGTAACTTTTTACTGCCGGTCTAGTTGGTCACTTTTAGCTAATTAATAATTGCTTGATACCTTCTGTCTAATTGCTGCAATATCCTAATGCTGGCTACATATATATTCACATATATATACGTATGTATATGTGACATGTCTGCAGCTTGGTGATGGTTTTGATTTTCTCCCCCCCCCCCCCCCTTGTGTATGGGCTATGGAGTTTTATTGAAGACCCGTAATGCCTCCGGTTTTGATTTAGTGTTTTGGAGTTTGTGATCTCATTGCCCGGTATGGAAAATATTAGACAGGGTCTGCAGATTGTATGCAGGAAAAGACCCACATCACCACCATGAGCTGAGTGCTCGTCCCCAGTGCTACAATAAGCTGACTGCACAGCCATCTAGAATCATTATTCAGTTTTTATGCCTTTGGATAAAGACCACTTCAGCCAGTCCTGCTTATGCAAAGGGCTGTTAAAGACACTGCTTCTCTCCATGGCTGCACATTAGAACCACTGAGAGGCAGGGGGATCTTTAGGACACTGATGTCTGAGTCCCTCACCCCAGAGATTCTGGTTGATTGTCAGGGTGCAGCCTGGATGCCAGAATTTTGAAAAGCTGCCCAGGTGATTCTAATGTACATTAAAGTTTTGGAATCTCTGCCTTAGGGAAGGGACAATAAAATGTGATGCTTTTTGCTTTGCCACTGTCTTCAGGGACGCAGGACTGACTAGCCCTATTTACCTCTGTGAACATCTTAACACGACACATGAAAACATGTTTAAATCCACAACTAAAACATCCCTCCTGTTCGTTTTTACACGATGTCATCATTCTGGCTCTGGAACCGTCTGTAAAGGACAGCCACTGCCCTCTCAATCTGCTTGCTGTTTTTAAAACACGAACCTTCTGTCTCCCTGTCCCACACAGGAGAACACAGCCTCCTAAATTTAACCATCTGCACAGTGAGCTGAGGTGGCGGCCACTGTGGAGGTGGCAATTGGCAGCCATTTGCATTGAATAAGATTGACTTTGGGAAAGGTGGAAATGAATAAAAAACGCTGGCCCAAAAGGAGTCAGAATAATTGCATTGTCCAAGGAAGCGGGAGTCAAGCTAGACTTTTAACATTAAGTAACCGCTGAACCCTAGACTCCTAAGATAGCAGGGTAGGCAAAACCCTCAAACTTCTGGTCGCATCTAAGAAACACTGAATATTCGTTTGTTTTCATGATCATTGCTGTATGGTTAGCATTATTTGATTGCCATGCATTTGGGTAAGGACTTTTTTACAAAGGCTGTGGCAGTGTTGCATTATAGACCTGGTGTTGCTTTCCCACAGGATTGCTTGCTTGTGATAACAACAGCAGTGTCAATATCATGAGGGGGAGGGTAGAAAGAGGAGGAGCAAGAGAGGAAGGAGGTAAGAAAAAGAAGGAAAAATACTTCACCTGTCCTCTTT